CTTAGTGACAGCTGGATACAGAAGTTGAGAGAGGTCTCTAAAATAACCATCAAGTTCCTGGCTAGGGTAATGAGGTAGGTGGCAGCCCCGTTCAGTAGGACAGAGCCTGGGAAGGAAGAACAGGTAAAGGAAAGAGAGAATGCAGACAGGAAGTGTAGCTGTGGGTTTGCTCCGTGAGCAGTGTGGGTTATCCAGGTGGGGCTAACAAGAAGCTGGCTATATAAATGTTGGGACCTGTGTATAAATATACACATATGATGGTAGCGATCCTGTTCGGATGCATCCGTGTATGGAAAATATACTCATAAAAACATGTGGCGTTCCTAACATAGGTCAGGCAGAGTGCTGGGCTCTGAGCAAGAGAGAGGGATGAGAAGGTACCGGCAGGCTGGGAGGACAAAACAGTGATTTTGAGTTTTGACCTCGTATTTTTACTATATGACAACCCTGCTCACACCCAGAGTCCAGACATTTATTTAGGTAAGAACCTGAGCTTAAGATTCCTGCCCCAAGTTCCCACTTTACATACACCACTTAGAGTTGAGCCCATAAGTTAGTGACCTCCACTCTTAGCACCTTATAAGTAACTAGAGGCCCGGTGCATGAATTCATGCACCAGTGGGGTTCCTCGCCCTGGCCGGCAATTGGGCCAATAGGGCCATCTCGCTCAGTCCTGATCTGGGTGATCAGGGCGGCCAGGGGAAGGGACCACAGGAGGTTGGCCAGCTTTGGGAAGTTGGCTGTGGGAGCACACAGACTACCAGGGGCAGCTCCTGCATTGAGCACTGCCCCCTGGCGGTCACTTTGCATCATAGCAACCGGTCATTCTGTCGTTCGGTCCAGGCTTTTACATATATAGATAGGCAAATCTACCCTGCTACCTCCATAGGGTAACTGAGAGCCATCAAAAACTTGAGCTAGGGAAGGGCATACCTTTTACTTTAAAAAAAAAAAAACCACAACACTAACTGCAATATGAGGGTAGATTACAAAAGACCTAGAGCAGTGATGGCAAAGCTTTTGAGCTCGGCATGTCAGCATTTTGAAAAACCCTAACTTAACTCTGGTGCCATGTCACAGATAGAAATTTTTTGATATTTGCAACCATAGTAAAACAAAGATTTATATTTTTGATATTTATTTTATATATTTAAATGCCATTTAACAAAGAAAAATCAACCAAAAAAATGAGTTTGCGTGTCACCTCTGACACACGTGTCACAGGTTCGCCATCACTGACCTAGAGGCTGGGGGAGTAGTTAGGAGGTTGTTGTGGTGGAAAATGGTTATCAAAGAAACATTCAGGAGGTTGATGGACCAGACTTGGTGATCGGGGGAACACTGGAGAAAAAGAGGAGCAAAGATGGTGTCCAAGTCCCCTAGCTCAGCCGGCTGGGCTAATGTCCCAGGGATGGCTGCGACTGCATCGGATGAGTGTAACAAAAGGGCCACAGCAGAACCTGGGGAAACCCAAAGAGTGAGGCTGGACACAGGCAGAGGGGCCAACACAGAAGGCCAAGAACCAGGGTCAGAGAAGAGGGAGAAAATCCAGGGGATTGAGGCGTCACTAAGCAAGTAGATTTGAAAAATGAATTGGTACAGAGACTCATGAATCAAAGAGGCCGACTGAAGGAACGACAAGTTTCTGCTGGATTTAGCAGTCAAGTGCCTTATAGTGAAATGATGAGGGCGAAAGCCCAGTCACACGGCTTAAAGCGGAGATGCCACTGTGTATGTCCCAGAGGCAGCTAGAGATATAGGTACAGATTGCTTTTGGCACATGGTACAGTACTCGGTGAACAGGAAAACCTAGCTAATAGCTCAGGCTTTGCTGCATAGCTTTGTATTGATCTTCTTGGGCTAAACATGTGCGCTCGCCCAGCCTAAACACAGGGGACCCTAAAACCCCAGGCCCTTTAAAAGACTTACAATCACTGCTGCGTCCTGCCTTACGTGAAAGCCATTTTTGAAAGTTTTAAATACTTGTAGGAGAAAATTTTTAGGTGCAAGCTTCTTCCTTTGAGACTAAGAGTACTCTTAAAATTAGTGAAACTGTAACAACTGGTAATAGAGCTGGTAATTTTGAAATAATTTTTGTTTTTATTAGCGTAATGCAAAATTATTTCTTACACATACTCCTCAAACATTTCATAAATTAGTTGGGGTCATGTGCATAAATTCAACTTTGAAGAAATTAAAATTTTATTTGAAAATTAACATTTGAAGTATATCAAACAATATGATGTTCTATTTAGCTTGTCTAGCAGACTCTTTCTTTAGAATTAGTGTCTACAGTTGGGCATTTATTACATTAACTTTCTGGCTTTTGACTAAAAGTGAAGTGAGTTTTCTGGCCCGGGCTCAGTTGGTTAGAGCATCATCCTGATACTCCAAGGTCGTGGGTTCAATCTCCCGTCAGAGCACAGACAAGAATCAAGCAATGAATGCATAAGTGAACAAATCAATGTTTTTTCTCTCTCTCTCTAAAATCTGTACTTTTTAAAAAAAATCTTTTAAAAAAGGTGGTGCCTTTTCTAATTAATGGACTTGTAATATTCCTGCAGGAAAACTAAGCCTAAGAAACATGAAATTAAAATTAATATTAGAGAAAGTAAGTTAACTGCCCATTTAGCTGGATGCTACTGAAAGTGGAGGTTTTGTCAGTGAGCAGCAGTGGACAAGCAGAGGCCACCAGGCACGTGATCGGAGCAAGCACCCCGACCTGTGCCAGCAGGGCGACTCTGGGGCCCCGTTCACGCCAATTCACTCTCAGGTGGTCCTCCGTGATGAGACCCTCTGGTGGGAGATGCTAGCTCTCAAGGTCAGCAGGTTCATACGCGGCGCACTTCCACGCAAGCTTCCTGCGGGGGCGACCCGATGAGAGCCCCTACGAGGCAGGCATCGCCGGCGCCTGTGCCCACGACCACGGTGACGCCCACCCGGGGCTCCAGCCGGCTCCCGCGCCTCCACTGGGGAAGCG